AGGGGCAGGGGTGAGTGGGGAGGGGTGAAACACAATGCAGCCCAGCTGGCGCTGGCCGCTCCCAGGGCCACTATAGCCAAGGTTGGGGTGTGTGTCACTCTGTTCCCTCTGCTTTGCTGCCTTGTGCAGCCCTGGGAGTGGCACCCCTCCCCCTGCCCCTTCCCTAGTCCCAGCCTCACTCCCTCCCTCACTGCCATGGGAACCTATCCCTATTTGTTACATTGTAAAGTGAGTTCACTTTATGCAAATTCAATTTATGCGCTGTTCTCTGGGAACGCATGTACAGCATAAATTGAGGGAAATCTGTAGAGATAAGGTATCTTTATGCTTATTTTTCTTCTACAGTGGAGGGGTGGTTCAGGTTACAAATAAACCACTGGTGCAGCAAGCATGACAACAAACTTGCCAGGTACTTCAGAAGTTAATACTTCATTGAGAACAAATAGTTTGGGGCTTCTTGTACAACAGGGAAAAAACCAAGGATCTCAGGTTGGCAGACAGTCTCCATTTATATTTAGTGCACTAAGTCTACTGTTCTTACTTGATAGACACAGGGAGCGTTCCTCCATGGGCCTGCAACAACAAGACCTGGAGCTGTTGCACCTAGGGGACAATGAAACAGTTACCAACTTCAAAATCTACCTCCCATGAACACAGTCCTTAGGGTGGATTCAAGAAGCAGTGAGAATTCAAAAGGGGATGTATTCTCTCTCCATCCATGCTAAACCAACATTCAGTGTTACAGTAAGGACGAGCGCCACCTTTCATGCATATTGCAGGATCAACATCAGACCACCTCTTTGTTAAAGGTTTGCACTAAAAGGACATTGACAGCAAAGCTAGGATGTGAATTTGCAGCATGAAAAACTCTGGCATCTCCCCACAGACATGCAGCAGGCATGAAGTAGCTCACTCTGTTTTCAAAGTCTAGACAAGGAACTGGCACAGAATACTTAGTGCCCTGTAAACTCTGTGCTAACTTCCCCACCGGCCCTAACGTGCCTCAACAGTCTGTCTAAAAATCTACCTTGACCACTGTATTTATTTTGGCCAATGAGCTTTCTTCTGGTTTGATCACCTATGGACTCTCTTCACACCCCTTAAGTTTGTGAAGCACAGCTGTGGAACGTTAGCTAACTGCCACTGTTCACTCTAAAGGTGACTGTGCTTTAGGGGAGCACACAGTGTAAGAGAAATACAAACTGAGACACTTGTCTGCAATCGAACCATGACCTTTAATAGCCACCTGAAAGAGAGGACAAGAAAAATGAATTCACACCTGTAACATGCTTATGCTGCATGTAAGCTACAGAGACTGCTGGGGATCAAAAACAAGTGCTTCTACCTTCATCATGCCCCAGATCAGTGAGCTCAACAGGCAGATTAGCTCTCAACCTTGCCACAAGAGAATTAATGCTTACTTTAGCTATACATGGCACATGCCTCCTCTCCCCCAACCCCACCCGACCTAGAAGAGAGCCCAATACCTGCTGTTTTAGATGATGCAACTCAGCTGTCTGTGGATCAATGTTGACAACTGGTTTATTTTTTATTTTTCTTGCCCTGTCGGCATAGCGAAGAGTGTTTAAAGTTTCTTCCATGTTGGAATCTGCTGGGCTCACACAGGCAATCATAAGTGTGTGGCTGTTGCCACCCAAGGAATCTGAAGAAAACAGAAATGGACAGGATATCTGCATTTCAAGATGCAGCAAGAATGGCCAAGTGGGACAGTAGTAAGAAGTCCAGAGCTGTATTACCAAATTTCAACATGGCCTGCATCAGGCCCACATAATCCTCCACTGGATGAATTTTGACTAATGCTTTTTGAAGTGTTACCTGGTGAATTACAAGTGGCATTCTCAGCTTACTGCTGCTGGTATGAACCTCAACTTCTCTACTTCCTGCCCTAGCCCAAGAAAGTAAACTATTCTTTGCTCAAAACAGACTCTTTTGGATCCCAATTCCAAACGCCAATAGACATCAAAAAGCCCCAAATAGAATGCCCATCCTGACATGCATCCTTTATCAGTTTTTCAAGTGTTCTTCCTTCTGATGGCACCAGCTTCCCTATAGCAAGCAGAAGTTTCACAGACATCCAAAACTCATCCTCTGGCAGTTTGAGAAAGTTTTTTCTTAATATGAGCTACCCATTAAGACTTTTTTGGTTTCAAACTCAGAGCACTATCAATGATGATCTCCAAGAATGGTACTGATGGTTCTATACAGCCCAGACTTCTCAAATGGGTTTAAACTATGGCTCCTTCTAAGAGGTTTTAAATACTACTAAAAATGGCCTGCATGCTTACATTTCACAAAACAGACTCATTCAATAAAATGCATTATTTCCTGTTTCCCAGACTAGAGTTTCATTAAGACAAAAATCAAGGGTCCAGGTCAGTAATTTAGGGTATGCCATTAAATTATGTCATCACTATCCTAGACAAGCATTATACACTCAGAAAATTCAGAGTTACAGTTAAGCTTGTGAATGCCAAAGGTCATGCTACGAAATGCCTTAACTTTAGTCTGTTATAACCAGGGATCCTGGTTTTCTTTGTTTAAGAATCAGAAATTCTCTGATAAAAAGTCCAGAATTCTTTCATTAAAACCCCCAAATCCATGTTTTCCTACAATTAAAATGAAACACCACTATATATATTAGATATCAGTTTAGATCAGTAAAATATTGTTTGTTACAATTTTAAAGAAATTTGTAAGCCTGCAAGTGCCTCAATCATTATAATAAAATAAATTCTACATTCTCCCATTTAAAGGAGAAAATTACAGATTTTCCCTTTAAAATGAGAAATCCGTGTTTTTCTGTGTGAAAAGGAAAAATCCGAGTTTTCCTGCAGCAAATGGAAAACCTGGATCCTTGGTCATAACACTGTGCAGCACCTGTTGAGTTGTGACTTGAAGCATATTACTGTTTTTGATCCCAGATGCAAGTAATTTAGTGTAAAAACCCTTAGGTTTCAAAAGGTTTTTTCCCCTTCAGAGAGAAAGTACTGTATCAAAAGTACAGCAAGTCTAATGGCCATGGAGAGAAAGCAAAAAAAAGGCACAAAATACAATCATGCAGAGACATCACTTGACCTGGAGGCTTACAAAGTCTGAGTTTATTAGTCTTTGCCAATCAAGTTTCACATGGATTTAGAATTTACCATAAATCTGGCTCTTACCTTGCAGCAGCCGTGTTAATTTAGAGTCTCTGTAGGGTACAAAACCACCCTTTTTGTTTTCCTCACCAAGAGCACTGATCACATTTCCCAGGCACAGAAGGCCTCTGTTGATGTTGATTCCTGTACATAAATAAATCTCAAAGTGAGAACATCTAAAATCTGTTTTCTATACCCAGCCAGAAAACAAAGCTCAGTCCCCGCAAAAGAAACTTCAGTTCCCAGAAGGCAACTGGTATCTGGTCTCACTGTTTTCTTCCTCTAGCTTGAATGAAAAGAACTGGGACCACAGTTATAACACCAATGCGCTGCAGAAGGCCATTTGGCAAGAGAGCAGGGTCATAAACGTCAGTGTTCTTCAAAGAGCTGCTCAGCTTCCCATGACTAGGGTAACTTGGCCCTAGTCAAAAGAAAGTACCCAGTCTCATCCTGTTGGCTCTTCTAACTAATCCAACAATAAGCACTGTTCTCCCCTGCACATGCTCTATACCACTGACGTGCAGTGACTGCTTGTTTTGCTATTTACAAGCCTTTAACAAGAGTGGCAGGCAGGAAAGTTTTGGCATTTTTTCTTCAGGTATCACCATTACATCAGAGATGTCTTTCTTCTAAAAACCTGGTGCAGTTGTCAGCTACTGTGCAAGGTTGGGAAACTTGTCTCGTCTCCTACCCCAGAGGAGATGAAATTTCCTGGCAGGCAGGCCATGAGGCAAGCCCTGCACCCCCCCTATATACCCCTCTGATCCCCTTCCATTGCCTTATAGGCTGCATGACACACATGAAAGGCTGCCTGTGACACTTGTGATCAATGAGGTGCAGGTTGGCTGCCTCTCTCCTACCATATCTCCCTACCAATTTCACAGCACTGAACATATAAACTCCACATAGATCAAACCAACCATCCAATAGTTGTCTCTACCAATGGTCAAGCCCAGCTGATCTGAAATAAAGATTGCAATGGGTAGTTACAGAACAGCTCGTTTTCAGCTACTATTCTGGATGCCCGAAAGCTTAAGGATTTATATCTGTTCTGAACTTCCATCACAAATTCAGATAATCTTATTTATCCAAGACACTGTCCATCCCATTCCAGGGTCCTGATCTCTCAGCCTCAGAACCATAAATAAAACACAACAGGAAAAAAACAGAAGTTCTGGATCTGCCTACACAACTTCTCTTGGAACACCTTGCAAGACAACCTCTAAGGCTACGGACAGAAGTTGCATATAAACTGGTTTAGGTGATCAGAAACTGGTTTAAACCTGTAACAGAACAGAAGTTCAATGCACATAAACCAGTTTCAAAATGACCAAAACCAGTTTGAAATAAACCTGGTTGAATGTAGTATCAGACTGAACTGATTGAGGTCAAACTGGTTTATGGAATTTTTGTCTCAGACCCCCCCCTTCCTGGTTTAAGTTAAGTCAGAGTCCTCCAGCATGCTCTGCAGCACTCAGCTGGGCCATTTGTTTCAGCCAAGCAGGATTGGCCTCACCCCTCTCCTCCCTAGCTGGAGCACTATCACTGCTCCAGCTGGCTGAGATGGTGGTGGGGGTGCAAAACCCTGCTCTGGAGTACAGCCAGGTCTGCTTGGAAGCGAGCAGCAGCCCTTGCCACGCAACCTCACTGCTCCAGCAGGAGTAGAAGCATGGCCAAACCCTGGTAGCCTGAGGGGAAGGGAAGGTTTAATCCCCGCAGTGAAGCGGGGGAAGGTGGGGGAGCCCAGGCACAGATAGGCTCCACTTGTGCACCCAGGGCCATGGCGGCCAGATGCCAGTAGCCCGAGGGGAAGTGGGGAGTGGCATGGGCACCAACACAGTGCTGGTTCCTTCCCAAGCTGAAGATCCCCTGGGACAGGGCCTGGGCTGCAGCATCTGGGCTGAGTCTCTCAGAGAAGCAGTGAGCGGCAGCCAAGGATGATGCAGGTCCAGCTATGGGAAGGGGGCATGTGACCTGGCTGCTGGTGTGGAAGGGGATGTGGGGGGGGAGCTGGGGCTAATCACAGAACCTGAATCACTGCTGTCTCCCACTGCAGCAGTGCAGCCCAGGCTGTGGTGGCCCTAGGGGGCAGGGGCCAGCACCCAGCCACCTACAGCCCCATGCAGGGGCCGCAGTTTGCAGGCGGGCTGCAGCTAGAGCACGGCTTCCCACTCCCCTCCCTCTCCTGGGGGTTATGGCAGTGGCAGAGCAAACCATTGCAGTAGACAGAGGTGAGACATCAGTCACCCGCTGCCTGCTCGCAATGGTGCCAGGCGCTCAGGGTGGGCTGCTGTGGACCAGGGGCATGGGCAGTGGCAGGGGGAGGCAATGGACTGCTGCAGCATGGTCCATCCTGGCCCCGCGGTCCAGGGGCGTAGGCATCAACTAGCCCACAGCAGCCCACCCTAAAATGCCTGGCACTGCCGTGAGCAGGCAACAGGTGACAGGTGTCTCACACAATTAAATCAATTCAGGCTCAGGCTTTTTGAATGTCTGTACCTAGCCATTGCCTCAACTTCTGCTAGACCACCCCTAATAAGCTTGAAGTTTCACTGAACAAAGTGGAAGCCTCATTCCCCCTAATGGATAAAAGGAACAAAAGTGATTGGGGAAGTTTCCTTTTCCCCTCACATTTCAGATGTAGGAGGGAAGAGGATGATTGAGGAGAACAGGACTTTGTTTCCCTTGTTTCTGCTGGATTCCTTGGAAGGCCAGAATGGGAATATACACCTCCACACAAGAGACCAGATCACCTCCCCATAGTTAGGGCCCAGAACAATGTATTGTATTTTGCTCTTTTCAGATGTGACAAGCTCAAACTTGCAATCACAAGGAAATTTCTAGTTCTCCTTTACCTACCTTCCTTTAGTCTGTCTCCCTCAGCTTTGGTCTTCTTTTGCCGCTCAGAGCCAGCAAGATCTACAAGATGGAGCTTTGAGCGAAAGCTGCTATTCCTGTGGCAAAAACAGGATAGTTAGATCCCCGAGCCAGCATGCAAGTGCACAAGCAACTGATCCACTGGGTTTAAAAGCACATTCCTTAAGTGAAGGTTACTGGATTCCAGAAGAAGCCATCATTCAACTCACTTGTCACTTTTCTTTCTCTGCTCAATGGAAATTGTGAAGATTGCATGGGACCGTGAGGACTGTGAATTCATGGCTGTGGAGGCCACAGTTCTTGAATTGTTTCCTTGCTCCAGGCAGAATACCGTATCCTGGGCACAGGCCACTTCTTGTTCCGTTAACCCTATTACCTATGTCAAAGAAGAAAATGCAATTTCATTCTTACAACTTGCAGACTAAAGTTCTGCTTTTTGACTTCTCAGCAAATTACAACTAACAGACAAAGATCCAAAACCAGATAATCATGTGAGAGCAAAGCCCAGGGGATTCAAACTACAAGGACTGCCCTAGTAGCTTCCCAGCCATGCTAACTTCCTGCTTAGGAGTCCACATAAATGGATACTGCAGTTAATGAGACCTGCCCCCCATTTACCAGAGGCAAACCTACTGAAAGTGATGTGCGATCACAATGTATTGTGAAACTAAAACAACATTGATACCATCTAACCGGAAACACTTTGTATGTGGGGCACACAGCAAACTATATACTATTATGGAAGCATGACCATTACCCAGAGCTGAAGACAAAAGCTCTTTTATAGCCACAGACCAGGTTTAGACTGAATGATCAAAAGCACAAGCTTCCCTGGAGTTCACACCCAGACATTTCAGCTTTGCTCCAAAGGGCATATTTTCTATACCAGGGGCGAGCAATTATTTTGGGCAGAGGGCCGCTTACTGAGTTTTGGCAAGCCATCGAGGGCCGCGTGACAGGCAGCCCAGGGCAGATAAATATAAATTTTCTAAATTTTTTTAGGGGCCCCGCAGGCCAGATAGAATAGCCTGGTGGGCTGTATCTGGCCCCCGGGCCGCATTTTAGCCACCCCTGTTCTATACACTGCTTTAATCTCTATGGCCCATTCTTGCCAAAAACTTTGTGGCATAGTTGTCACCTTTTGAGTTTGCAAACAGCAGTTTTGAATTACTAAAGGCTAGGCAAGACTGCACAATACCATCCATTCTACCCCTTCGTACGTACACCTTTGACAACACACCTTAATGCCTTCTTTGGGATCCTCCCGGATACTGATTTGAGAAGATCGCTCTCTCACAGGAGATAGCAGGTCGAGGACATCCTCATTGTAGATCTGAAGATATTAGAACAGCAGCTCAGAACAAGCAGTACTGAGCAAAGTGGACAAGCAGTACACAGGACAATGGAAGGTCAATCTGATTTTGCAAGAGACAGCATCCATCTCATCTACTTGGTCTTGCTGTTGTGAGAGGCAGTTCTGTTTCTACACATTTGCTTCTCTTTTCTATGCCCATGGTCTCTACATAAGAGGAGTCTTATTAGTGTGATCATCCTAAGCATCAGAAAGCAGAGCATGGCCTTGAGACGACTCTCAATTTGTGTCCATCCCTCTGGAAATAAAGTCTCCCTTAGAGATTTTTAATCTAGAACTCTGCACCATTAGGGCTGTGTGAAACAGCAATGTTTCGTTTTGACTTCTGTTTTTACAGGACAGTGTTTCATTTCGAGTTTCGTTTTGAAACCATTGTTCCATTTCCTCAAAACTGTTTCGCTCATAGGCTATAATGGGGAACCATGAAACTGCCTATAACTTTGTCAGTTCTTGCCCGATTTGGATGGACCTTGCAGGGAAGGTAGCTCCTTCTGAGGCCATGAAGCCTGCCAAGTTTCAAGGAGACAGGTCCAGGGGTTTCTGAGAAACTGCACCTCAGGCTGCTGACAAGTAAAACTCGTTACATGTGTGACTGTGTGCGTGTTAAGGCACAGGGGGGTGAAAACTGCAGGCATGGTAGCCTCTGCTTAGGCCATGAAGCCTGCCAGGTTTCAAGGAGATAAGTACCAGGGTTTCTGGGAAGCTGCACCTCACGCTGCTGACAAGCAAAATTTGTGACATGGGTGACAGAAAGCAGGCCAGTGCAAACAATGCTGCCTTTTATGCAGTTCTTCCATTCCTCCCCCAGAACACTGGAATTGGAAGGGGCCTCAGGGAAGGACCAGAGTCACTGGCCAGCTACAGTCAATACGAGAGCAGTCTTTCCCCCCCTCCCTCTCCTTACTTTCTGTTTCCCTGCAGACAAGCCCTGCTTGAGTTTTGAAACTTTCAAAATGTTGACTGCCCTCGTTTCATTTCAAGGCTGTTTCGAAGTCCTTCCTTTTGTTTTGATTTCACTGTTTCAAGCTTGAAACAAGTTGAAACAGCCCCAAAACGAAACAGCCAGCAAAGTTTCGCACAGCCGTACTGCACATGCTCTGCTCCAGAGATTACAGGTGCAATGTTAGCTTTAATGGCAGGCAAGCCTGTTGCAAAAAAGGATGCAGTCCCATCTGCTATAGGGCTTCCACAAGTCCTTTGAACTATGTCTAGCAGCTGATATAAGAGTCTTTCTTGTCAACTGACTGAAGTGCCACCTTAAAGAGACTGACTATTTAACTTGCTACATAAAAGCAAGTTTGATTAACAAAAATAAGGAAAAAAAAAGAACTTAGTTCCAGTTCTTGCCAATCCTCACATGTAAAATGTGACCTAAAGCTTAAACAAACCCTGTTGGCCCAAGGTATTACACTTGTTGAAAATTACTCTTATGAAGCGAGGCTTTAAATTCCAGATATTCAGAAACCATAAATATTTTTTACCTCCAAATATGAGACTTTCAAACTGAATGCCCAGTCCTGCTTCCGCTCTACTTCTTGAAATAGTACTTTAATTACGCGAGGAATAACTCCAACACTAGGTTCATGTTCTTGATCATGAGTGAAAGTGCCTCCCATAGAATAGGTTTTTCCAGAACCTGTCTGCCCATATGCTAGGACAGTAGCATTGTACCCTGAGGAATCAAAGAAAGAAAAATTAGAGACTGACAACACATAGATGGAAGGGGAGAGGAGCATTTCAAGCACGTTTCAGCATAAAGCTAGAGGCCTCCGTGGAAATAGGCCAAATCTCGCAGTTTACACAACACTGACCATACATGTAGTCAATTCACTAGGGACAAAAGGTCCACTAAAAACAGGTACCTTATCTAGCGTTTAAGTACAAGATAAAACCAGCATCCCTGCCCAGCTCATACAAGCCAGTTCCACAGCTCTAACTAAGGACGCCAAAAACAGCATGTAAGCACTCCATCACCCTTCCACCACCTTTTCAGTACCTCAGCTCACAAGCCTCAGATGAAGTTTGAAAAAACAAGTCCATCTTTACTTTTCAAAGTCAAGTGAACCTATCCAATTCACCTTGGGAATCCACTGGAAAACCTGGCTAGCAGTAAGTTGGTAGGATGTAGCTCTCACCACTTCAGTCTGGGATAGATTTCTAGGCATAATAGCTTGTTCTTTGAAAAAAGGCTGCAGGGTTAGAGTGGATAACAAAGCAATTTCTACTAGCTGTTCTTGCAGCTTCTGATGTCACTGGGGTATCCCAAACCCCAATGAAAGTCTCCTGTACCTTTGCTATGATTTTTTAAAAGTAATTATGCACACTCCAGTAAATCTCACCTTTGAAGATGCCCTGTATTAAAGGGGCAACAGATGTATTAAAGACTTCCTCCTGCTCAGCTGATGGGTCAAATACATAGTCGTATGTGAAGGATTTGTCATTGCCTACAATTACCTGTAGGGAAGATAAAAGCCAGTAATGAGGGCTACTTTCCCCATTTGCATGCTGTTACTCAATGATCAATTCAACTCTTGCTTGCAGTGGTACAAATCTGAAAACTCCACTGAGGTCCACAGAATCATTTTGGGGTAAGGAGAGAATGGAGAAAACACTCCCTTACCTGGGGCTCCCCAGGCACAAAGGACAGACACATCTGGCACCCTTCGCTTATCTCCTTCATGACCAAGGGGCGGCAGCGGAGTGCAACCCGCACAGGAATCCCCTTCTCCTCCTCCTTCACCATTTTGAATTGCAGTAGTTTCCCTGCAGGCACAGATAAACAATAATAAGTCTATTTTCCCAGAAGCCTCTCCTGTTAGATTTCACATGTCAGGCCTTGCAGGAGCTCAGGGAACTCATAAGATACATTCACTGTTTCAGCTGATATTTAGCAACAGCTAGTACAAGTTAGAGAAACAGAGACAGCTCTCAACCCAATATCCGAGGAGACCCAAGCCATCAGCCCTCCCTCTGCCCCAAAGAGAAGTTAGGTTTTGGGTGATCACATGTTGATAGAAGACAATGTTGCTTCTAGTTACATACAGTAAAAGCTGATTCATTCGTCACTCCAAGCAGACCGGTAACGATGACTATCCACGAGAACTGTCATTGACTGGGTCAGATCATAGGTCTGTCTTGCCCAGTCTCCTGTCACAACCAGTTCTGGATGGGACACACTGGGTCTCTGTAGGTGTCCCAAGCCTCCCCTTGCGGGAGTGTGGGCAAGGCCTATTCTTCCTCCACAGCCAGATCCATACCTTCCACATTCAGGCCTTGCAGAGACTCCTCTATGGCGCCGGTACCCAGGCAACATAGTGCCTGGACGGCTGTACCTTCCTCTGCTGCCTTCAGAGGTTCTGATACTACCGGCAGCTCTTCTACCTACAGGGCCTCCCCAAAGCAAGGACCTGGAGAAGCTGCCAGATTTCTATCCTGACCTCCTCAGGGCCCGGGGGCTGGTTTCCATCTCCAGGTCCCCAGGGACAGTCCACCCAGGGTGCTGACCTCCTTGCCGAGACCCTGCTGAAAAACTTGCAGCTGGCGGTGCTGCCGATTGAGGTGCCCTGGGTGCACCAGAAGATGGTCCTGGCCCACATCACTTGCGTCAGAGAACTCCTGGACTATGGTAGGCAGGGGTGGGCAAATCCCTCTGTGCTGGTCCAGCCCATGTAGCTGCCCATACTGCATGCTCTCTGCTGCATAGTCTGAGAGGTAAAGGCTGCCCTGCCGCACACTGCATTTACCTACATTGACCAAGTCCTGTGCCAGAGCAGTGCATGTCGTCCCCCCCCGACCCATGTCCCCCAGCCCTCTGGAGCTCATTGTGGGGCCACTGCCTCAGCAGGCCCCATGGTGCCCCCCTCCCCACGACCACAGCAGGGTGGGGGACACCAAGCCAGTCCACTTCCAAACAGTCCATCACTGTCCACTCTATATGCTCCAATTCCACAAAGTCCATCATCCCATCCTTGTGTCCCACCCCAACAACAAATGGCGGGACACCCCAGGCAAGGGCAGGGGTCCCTGGCAGACTAGCCTATATTCTACCTTGATCTCACGAGCCACCAGGAACCTTGGCTGGTGGCACCTCCATGGAGTCATTTCCATGGGCATACACCTGGCACACTTTATGGACAACCCCAACAGCTGCAGCTGCCCCTTTTGCCCACGGAGGGAGACCCTGGCACACGCCTACCTTGAGTGTGCCAGGCTGCAGCCCCCCTTCCATCTCCTCCAGAATCTGCTGAGGTTCTGGCTGCAATTCTCCCCACACCTTTTCTTTTACAGACTTCCCATCTGCAGCCTCACCAAGTCACAGAAGTTTAGGGCTTGAAGGATCCTCATGAGATGACTGGGTCCAGCCCCCCTGCTTTGGGCAGAAAATAACTGCTGGGGTCAAATAACCCTGGTAAGATGTGCATCCAGTCTCCTTTTGAAGATACCCAGGGTACTGCTTGCATCACCCGCACTGGGAGTCTATTCCAGAGTCTGGTCACACAAACCACGAAGAAGTTTTTCCTTGTATTCTTATAGCTGAAACTTTCTTCTAGTTTATGACAGTTGCTCCTGCTTTTTCCCTGGGGCGCTTTGGTTAATAGTTGTTTGCTTAGCCCCTGATGCTCACCCCCCGATATATTTGTAAGCTGCCACCAAATCCCCCTGAATTCTTCTTCTCTTTTCTAGGCTGAACAGTCCAATATCTGTTAGCCTTTCCTCATATGGCTTGTTCTTCAGGCCTCTAATTATACAAGTGGCTCTTCTCTGGACTCTCTCAAGCTTCTCCACATGCTTCTTGAAGTGTGGTGCCCTGAACAGGACTCAGTACTACAGCTGTGGCCTCACCAATGCTGAGTAGAGTGAGAGAATAACTTCCTTAGTTTTGCTTGAGATGCATCAGTCGATGCATGTCACCGTACTGTTTGCTCTGATAACTGTAGCATCACAATGGTGGCTCATATTCATTTTATGGTTAATTATGACCCCCAGGTCCTTTTCAGACATGGTGCTCGCTAGCATAGCACTACTGAGCCTGTAAGTTTGTTGCAGATTTTTCCTTCCCAGATGGAGCACTTTACACTCTCAGGTGTTGAACAGCATCTGGCTCTGGTCAGCCCATCTAACTAATCTGTGTAGGTCTGTCTGTATTGTCCGCCTACCCTGAGTTGTGGTCACACTTTCCCACAGCTTAAGGGAATTTGCAAGCTTTGCCAGTACGCTTTTCACCCCCACATCATTGAAGATGTTGAAAAGCACTGGTCCAAGTACCAAACCCTGGGGGACCCCACTGGCTACCTTCTGCCAGGTCGACACAGATCCGTCTATTAGTAACCTCTGGGTCCAACCCTGCAGCCAGTTTCCCCACTCATCTGACCATTGAATTGTTGAGTCCATAGAGTCCCCTAGTTTTACCTTGAGAGCCTCATGGGGCACTAAGTCAAAAGCCTTCCTAAAGTCCAAGTAAATGACATTGACCGTGTCTCCCTTATCCAGATGGTGAGTAACCTGGTCGTAGATGAGTTTAGTCAGACATGACCTACCTGCAACAAAATCATGCTAGCTGTTGTTCAGAATTTTGCCTTCTACTAGCTTATCACATGTGGACTTCCCGAGAAATTTTTTGAGGATTTTTGCTGGGATTGAGGTCAGGCTGATCAGCCTGTAGTTCCCTGGGTCCTCTCTCCTCCCCTTCTTGAAGAGCACAGCATTGGCCCTCTTCCAGTCTTCTGGGACCTCTCCCAAGCGCCACATATTCTCAGAGGTTCGCCAGCAGCCCTGCAGTGACTTCAGCTAGTTTGTTCAGCACTTTCGGATAGGGCTCATCCAGTCCTGCCAACTTATAGATACCCAGTCTCTCTAGCTGTTCTTTCACCAGCTCTACACTGCTGTTGGTAGGGACCTACTGTGATTATTCCATGTCATATTTGCATTTGGCAAGCTATCACTCTTTGACTGGTAGAATGCAGATGCAAAGTACTCATTCAGTTCTGTTTTTTCCTTGGTGTTCGTGATCAGATGTCCAGATACATTGAGCAGTGGTCCCACATTTCCATTGGTTTTCCTCCTGTTACCCATATACCTATAAAAGAACTTATTATCCTCGATTTTGGTTGCTAACCTGAATTCGGTCACCGCCTTTGCTTTTCTAATCTGCCCCTTACAGATGTGGACACGCCTATTTTGCATACAGGTATGGACAACTTCTGTGCACAAAGGATCGTGTTCTTGAGGAATGATCATTCTTCATCCACACTTTCTCTGTGGTCCACGATCCCTTCGGGCATCACTTACTAAAGTCCTTAGCTTATTGAAGTCAGCTTTTTTAAAAGTCAAGAATTTGTACCTTACTGACAGATTTCCCAGCCCTATGACAGACAGTGAAAGTGACAGTGTTGTAGTCACCGCTGCCTAGGTTACCCTCTATTGTCAGATCACTCACCAGGTCATCCCCCTTGGCCAAAACTAAATTTAGGAGGGCATTTCCTCTGGTCGGCCCATATACTTCCTGAGACAGGTAGAACTCGTTGATACAGGTCAGGAATCTATGCGACCAGTCAAATCTGGTCAAGTGTTCTTCCCAGGAGATGTCTGGCTAGTTAAAAAGTCGCCCATGACTACCATATCCCATGCTCTCGTAGCCTCTTCCAGGTCTCTGGAGAATTCCAGATCTAGCTCCTCATCTCAATGTGGAGGTCTGTAATATATTGCTACAGTAAGGTCCCTTTTGCCACGTCCTCCCCATATCTTGACCCAGAGGGTCTCAA